GTCCTCTTTGACCTGATATTCCTCTGCCTCCCACACACTCGCCGTGCATATGATTTATATTATAACACAATAATTAATCTAATAAATCTAATTCATCCCCAATTCCTTAATCACTGTTTTGGAAGTGTTAAAAGTTTTTGATACTCAAAATTCCTAGAAGGTCCCTCTTAATGGATCTCAGTGTAAGTGACTCATTCTCATAGTGCTTAAAAAATAATCACTGACTTCAGGAACAAAAGGGAATCATTCTGCTCACCTTCTGCATAAAAATAAGCCTGGAATATTTTTCTTATATGTGAGCATACACCTTGGAAAGACATCTGAATTTGATGGTAAATAATCACAACATCTCTAGTTTAAGTACCTGCCTGATAAACCTGTACCTTTCTCTGTAGTCTGAATTTAGTCTGTATTCAGTTCCTAACTGGGTCTCTTTACAGCAGTTACAGAGCTCTTAAACACACAAACGTACACACATAGAGATTTTCATTAAAATGGGGAGAGCTACTGAGTTGTACCCACTTCAGATAGCAGGTTACACAACTTCTGCATCATTTCCTTGTTTCCAGTACATTCTCCCCATTCCCTGATATTGAGACCTTTCAACTTCTTTTCCTCTCTTCCATGCAATGAACATTCATTTATGTTATACAGGTAGTGACAATAATAATCTTCTGCATGTGCTGACTGTAATGGCCTTGCCCACAAGATGTGCTTTCTGATCGTATCCCTAACTAGGATGCAATCCTAGCTAGGAATTCTGCCTTTGTATTTAAGTGCAAACAGAGGAGTGAGAAAGATGTAGCCTGTTGAGCCTTCTCAGAGATAGCTTCAGGAAACTATTACAATACCAAAATGCTTGGAAGTTTGTGGCTGACTGACATACCTTCTCATCAACTGCCAGATTAAGGCCAGGGTGAGTGTACGGTTTCCTTCATTGAGATCTTGCCCAGCAATGCCAACGAGGGAAAATTTGGCTTGATTCTTTCCCAGTTCCACTGCATAGTTGCAGTTTTCAAGCTGTTGATGGCACAGTCAATTGGTGTGGTTCAAAAACATAGGAAAAAAAAAAAGACAAGATACTATTACTTTAAATTCCTTGGATCACTCAGCCTAGATCTTCCTGGGCAAAAAGAAACTTTGGGGCTCTGTGATAATATGGCTGCTTGACTACTAGCAGGCAGTTCCACCCCAAAAATACCATGGTAAACAGTTAACGTTGACAGAAATGTTATTCTTTGTCACCAGGGCCTGAAAAGTAGACTATCACAGAAAATAAAAATTTTTGGCTCATAGGTACCTCCAGCATCATGGCATTGCACTGAGACAAAGAGTTAGTGTCCCAGTTGATATTTTAGGTCAGTAGATTGCTCTGGTCTAACTGGATGAAATTAGTCATCCAGATAGTTGCAAAAAAGCTTTGCATTTAGCAGCAGCTGTGTGATTGGTTCTTGATGCATTTGGTCAAGAATGCTTATCATCACTCTCTTCATTTGATGTGGAGGGCAGTGATCCAGACAGCTGCAATTAAGCTGGTGCCACGTGTCTCTTGCTGCAGATGCATTATAATTGGTGCTTAAAATAGTAGCAAAAGCGGTCTGCAAATACAGATTTTAAAGAATTATGCAGAAGTTGTCAAGTCTTTTTACTTTACAAATATTTTTCACCTGTCAACAGAGCGAGTTGAATGTATGTTTATTTTTCAGGATGAAAAGTTAATCACTAACTAGACAAAAAAATCATTTAATGTGCTGTAGTTGGCACTGGAGAGCAACATGAATATCCACACTGTTGTTTGAAACTATAGACATACTCTAAGGACAAGGCATCACTACTCGATCTATTCCAGGTTTTTTTACCTTCTTCATGTTGCCTCCCAGTTTAGGATATGGTGGTTTGTTCACTCTGTTCCAGTCTACTGGCACTTTGATCTTTTCATAGAGCTGGAAGATAACCAAGGCATCTGACAGGTCACTGAAAGCAACAACAGAAAAAGAAACATTATTGTCTAAAGAACAGAGAAAGGAAACACAACTAAACTTAGCAGAGGTAAACTTAGTTTCCTAAAAAAACCCCAAAAAGCAGCATATATTCTGTATATATATTTTGTAAGCAATTTCTGGCTGTGTTTATCATCTGAAGGAAATGTAATACCTTGTCTTACCTATATAAGTGATTTACACGTGGATTAACACCCAGGGAATTCATCCAGTTCCTGAACGTCCTCTCTTCCCTTGTCTCACCTAAAACAACAGATACATCAATCAACAAGCCTGCAAAACAAAACAATCCAGTAAAATAAGTGTCTTGTGAAGAAACACTAACTCTGAATTTACAGTGTGCTGAAATAACAAAAGGAGACACTGGTTGACGTGTGAAATAAGAAAGCATGGTACAACATGCAATATTTCTTCATGGCCTATATATTATAGTATTTTGCCAGATTGGCCTTTAAATGCCTTCAAGAAATCAAGAACGGCCTCTGCCCCAGCATGAACAGTTTCACTGTGAGGCTGAGAAAGAAGGACCTGAAGTTCAGCAAATGATCCGTACAATGATGCTTCTGACCCCAGTCCAGAGTAAGTAGGCAGCAGGTTTATGCAAGATCTGATTTTTAATTTATATCCTCAAATAAGAGAATGCCAGATCAACTCTAATTTCAACTAAAAGCATGCTCAGTAGTCTGTACTGGTTCAGACATCCCAAAAACCTTTTTGTCTTTAAGCGTGTGTTATCCACAGAACAGAGCCCCAGATTACAAGAAGCTAAAAGCAGGTAAAGGACAGCCTCTGTTTCCAAAGACTGCCTGTGCTAACAGGGCAGCGAATATATGGCTGAAGGACATAAGATTAGGTTGATGTATCATCAATTCAAAGATGGGGATACTGTGGCACTGGTGGCCAGAAGCATCTTTTATTTGCATTTTCCTGACCTTCAATGGAGCTCCAGTCAATGTCCTGGTTCTCTGGCTTATGCAGGGCAGGGTATTTGTTGAACAAGTTGGCGATGAAGGCCAGATTTAGCTTGGGGTTCCCCCGGACGACATCAGTGGCAGTGACGAACTGCCGGCAGCCCAGGCGCTCCGCCTGCTGCAGCATGCACTCCGCTCGCTGGACATCGTCCTTCTCCTGTGCTGGCACAAAGCAGGGCATCAACCTCACCTCACTGCCTGGCACTGCATGCAAGACCCACCTGGGATCTCCATGTGTGGATCTAGATGTGGAACTGTCAAAGCAGGTCCTTGACAGATTTATAGCTATTCCCTTTCCCACTTCTACTAATGGCAAGTTTGTGTTTTCAAATGGGCTTTGTCTATAATTCGACCATCTCACCATATTGCTTTTAAGTCATATTCCATACAAGATGTGATGGTTTTATGAAATTCCCAAATAAATTTACTTAAATACACTTGTTACATGCTAGTAGTTTATCAGTGTGTCTAAAGTTTTAGAGATAATATCTAACAAAAGTCAAAACACATAATTTAATTTTTTGAAAGCTTTGATTTCTGAAATACAAGATCATTTTGCAATGGTAAAAAGGATTTGCTTGTTCCGACATCCCGGTGCAACCCTATGTTGACCAGCAATGCAAGTAACAGACAGAAAATATCGGCATTTACTCTAAACTTATCTCATCTTACCCTTAATCCTGACATGTCAATAGTAATAGCTGGAATGCCTTCTTCATCTCCCTTGGGGGCAACTTGGTTCAGCAAATGGTAATAAGCTCTTGAGTCCTGTGACAAACAGAGAAATTAAAGGGAAGAAAAATTACATCTAAAGCTAAGCCTCTGAATGCCAGTACTTCCCTGAACAATGTGCCTGCATGCTTCATTTTTATTACATCGATCATTGGGCTACATAATTAAATTAATTAAGCTGGAAGCACTTAGCAATTCCTACTTTATGCTGTGTTTGCCAGATCTATTTCTTCCCTAAGCCCATGTGCTGCAGAATGTTCAACACACAATACAAAATCCTGTGTGCTGCACTTACAAAAAGGACAGCAACAACGAAGAGATATTAGAATTTACTTAATCTGAACATAAAATTAAAGATAACAAAATGCATACCTTTATAATATTGTAGAAGTCAGGCTGCTGAGCATTTAAGAGAAGAAAATGCAGAAGGAGAAAGCAGATGTTTAAAGAGGATTTCTAAGCAATGCTTGAACAGTTATGGAAGAGAAAGCATAGTTTTCAAGGACAAAAGTTAAAACTAACAACAGTATCAGCATTTTTCAGGAAAAAGGGCAGGAACAAGACAAGAATTTAATATGTTGTGTCTTTAATCTTCTGTGAAGTATAACGTTGCTTCCACACGTGGAAAATATTAACTCACTTCAAAAATAGCTCAAAGAACTGAAAATAAAGCTACCTGTTAATGGCTAGGGACTTGACTAACTAACTCAGCTAATGTTATTCAAAATATAAAGTAGATTACGTGCATTCAGGGCTACAGCAAAGGTTGGGCAGAGGAGCGTGTAACCCAGGTGCCATACTGAAGGAAAGACCAAGTGGGGGAATTGGAAGAGCCCCATCCCCTTCCTCTACATCTAGTTACATATTTGAGTAAGGTTCAGGCTTTTCCAAACCAAAGTCAGGTCAAGAGTCACTTAAGGAAATTTAGGAAGGAGGAAAGCAATAGAGGCAAGAAACTGAAAATACAGTGGTAGAGTCCATATGCCCTGTCCAGAGCCAGCAGCCATTCCTTTCCCAGGCATTTGGTGTTCTGGGGCTGACAGTGATGACTGAGAGGTTGGGACAAGGAGGAATACTAGTGAGTGGAAAGGTAAACCCCACTAAAAACATTCTATGCACCCAGCTCCATGTCTTCAGCAAAGTGGTCTCAGCTGCTTGGATTGTTTCAGTGTTCAATCCCTGTGTGGAAGATAGAAATTTGGGTGGGAGCTGCTGTTTTGCTGTTGTTGGTCAGCGTTTCTCATACCTTGATGTCTGAGCTGAAGTTGTTGACTTTGTTGCATCCTGCATTTTCCAGATGATAGTTTGCCCACCTCAGCAGCAGGTCCTCTGGAGACAACTTCATCAGATCCTCCAGGCTCTCTCCTTCTCTCAGAAGAGCGATTAAGGCTAAGCAGGGATGGGAAAAAAAAAAAAACAAAACAAAAAAACAAACAAGAAAAAAATAATAATGTGAATACTTTCGGAGGAGAATGTATGGCTGTTTTCTCTCTAAAGGTGAGTGGCCAAAGTGTTGCCAAAATTCAAGGTGTGTTAGCATGACAGAGGACATAAACAGAAAAAGGGTCTCATCAATAAAATGAGAAAAAGGCTGTTATTTGTGTATCTAGTAGTGGATCATGTAGAAGTGGAAGACAATTTCAGTGTGGTCTAAGAACTACCTATGAGAAGGGAAATCTTCAACTAAATCAGTTTGCTCAAAGCCCTATATGACCTGACCTTGAATGTTTTGGGGGATGGGGCACCTACCACCTAGATGGGGCAACCTAGGCCAGTGTCTGACCACCTTTATCACAAAAAATGTCTTCCTTATAGCTAGTCTAAATCTACCCTCTTTTGTTTAAAACCACTATCCCTTATGTATCACAACAGTTCCTGCTAAGAAGTTTGTCCCCATCTTTCTTATAAGCCCCTTTAGGAACTGCTATAAAGTCTCCCTGGAGCCTTTTCTTCTCCAGGCTGAAAAATCTCAGCTTTCCCAGTGTGCCTTCATAGAAGTGTTCCAGCACTCTGAGCCTTTCTGTGGCACTTCTCTGGATCTGCTCCAACAGGTCCAAGTCTTTCCTGAGCTAAGAAGTCCAGAGCTGGACTCAGTGATGCTGAACACAGGGGCAAGATTGGAATGAAAATATGAAGATAGACTTTCTGCATCTTAGATTAAAGAAATCTCAGTGACCTTCACACTGAAACTGGATTCACACAGGTATTCTGGAGTACTTGCACATGACTTCATGGGCTCGCAGGCCAGCTGGGTTAACTCGTCTGTCAATTGGAGAAGATACCTATTTTATAGAAAAATTAATATAGTATTCATGTTCATAAAAGGAGAAACAGATAGGAGGGAAGGACTGACTCTTGCAACTGCAGTATGTTGAGCTGATCTCTGGATCATGAAAGGCTTTAGAACAAGTTTTGAAAAGAAGAACTAATAACCTGGAAACTAGTTGTTAAGGTGATAAAAGGGGAGAGCATCACACTACTCTGATCTTCTTCCAATATCTTTTGTCAATCCTTGAAAGAAATATGGATTTGCTACATAAAGGAAACAGTGGAGACATACTATATCTGGAGTTCCATAGATAATTTGATACAGGGTGCAATGGGGTTAAACTGGACCAGAGGGGGATAATAAAAACATTTGAAACTAGACAGAAGATTTTATGAAGGAAAGAGTGTTAACTGTAGGCTGGAAGAAGGATTCTTGTGGAGTTGATCATGGATTGATTTTTGGATTAATGTTTTCTTTTTTTTTTTTTTTTTGCATCAATCATCTTGGTACAAATACTAGCAATGTGCTTAAAATGTGAAGATGATATTCACTAGGTGGCATAGTCAATACAGAGGATGATCAGGAAACCAGACAGAGCGAACTAGATGACAGTAATAAAAATGGAATGTAATTTAATAATGCCATATTCAAAGACTTTCACTAGGGAATTGATATGAATAACTGCTATTAGCTAAAAGCTTATATGAACAGAGGATGGGAACAAGTGGAGTGTATTAGATATCTTCTGAGCTACTCTGAGCCGCCATTTGATATGACCATAGGAAAAACAAACATGATATTAAGTGCATCCCAGGTAATTCCCAGAGGTTGGGATGTACTACTGTCTTGATATCATATGCTCAGGAAAGTTCACTAGAAATACAGTGTCCCATGTTCAAGAAAGGGGAATTTTACCCGGAGCAGCTGTAGAGAAGGGCTATCAGGGAAAGATAGAACCTGAAAAGAAATAAAAATTATCTTGGCTTGTCTACCCTGACAAACTGAAGTTTTAGATGAGAAGTGAAGGAAAAAATATCAGAAAGTCAAAAATAGCAATTAAGCAAGGCAAGGCTACCTACAAAGGAATGGAAACTGGAAACTCTGGGAACTGGTGGCTCTGGCAATAAAAGGTATAGAAATGTGAAAGGGGTGAGGCAATGAAGGTAACACCTGCATGGAAACTAGAGGAAAGAAGTGTCACTGTTGGTTGAGCAGACTATCCAGAGGCATGGGGAACAAGGCAGCAAGATGAGGTGCCATGTGAACTGCATGTACACACCCACACCCTCACCCTGCAGCTACTTCATGGAGAATTTTGGCATTGGTAGATACATCTGGAATGCCAGTTTGTGGCTCCCCAATATGACAGAGACATTGACAAACCGAGGCAAATTAGTGGAGGGAGACCAAGCTGGTTGGATTGGAGTATGTGATATATGGGAAGAGGATGAGAAAACTGTGTTTGTTTAGCTTGGAAAGAGGTTTGAGAGGGGAACTAGTACTGTCTTCAACCATTATAGAGGAACCAGGTCTGCATTTGCCCAGTATGCAAAGCAAAAGCATGAGAAGTTGCAGACACAAGGTGCAGGAAGGGAAATTCCAACTAGATATAAGAAAAAAAATTCAGAGCAAGAGTGGCTGGGCTCTGGAATAGTCTACCCAAAGAATACTGGAGAAGGCCCTGAGCAACCTCATCTACCTGTACTGCTGTAAGCAAGTAGCTCAATGGCTGAATCAGAGGACCTCCAGAGGTTCCTTCCAGCCTAAATTATTCTGTAATTCTATAATTCTGATTTCACAAAGAAAGAGGAGATGTTTGGCAAGAAAGACCAAAGCTTTCTGAATGCAGACTTCCTTATCCCAGATTTAATGCCAAAACACCAATACTTGGGTGTAGACCATTATTCCTGATCCAATGAGACTGAAATGGCTCTGAACATATAAGTCTACAGACAGCCTTGGACTTTTGACTGCTGGAACTTGTGAAAAGCGAGGAAAACTAGAGCAGTCAAGGAAACAGGTGACATATACTTGAAGAAAAAAATATTTTTTTTAAAAAAGACCTTTATCCTAAAGACTGTTCAGTGATAACAGTAGAGAACTGAAATCAAGAGCCATACGTACCTTCATTCCTGCTGATCTCTATGTCAGCAAAGAGTCCAATTTTGATGACTTGCCATAAAAGACCCAGAACCAGGTAAGGTTTTCCTTCTTTTAAGTCTTCAGCTCCAATGTTAACAACATGGCACCCAATGGCTGAAGCAGAGTTCAGGGCCAAGTTCAGATTTTCCTATGGAAAGAAGAGATGTTTTGAATGATGCAATAACTGGGGAACTGAGGATACAGGAAGGGAGCACAGCCAAAACTAGTGAAATCTGCAGGCAGCCTCACTGTATATGCATTTATATACCTAGAACCATGTCTTTCCTGATGCAGCGCTCCAGGTGAAGTCTCACCAGAGTAGAGGGACAGAATCACCTCCCTTGACCTGCTAGCCACACATGTTTTGATGCAGCCCAGGATACATGTCTGATCACAGGGAGCAGGGGAATACAGTATCTCCTGGGGAGTACAGGTAAGTTCTGGGTCCCAACATGAAGACAGAAAGAACCTCTCTTTGGCAAAGGTGAAAGAAACCATGTCACCAGGCATTGGAGATCAAAGTGTATGTCTGCATTCACAGTGATGTCCTGGCTCAATCCTGGTTACCAAAGTCAGGATCTCCCTGTGACTAATGCTCAAGCACATGCTCAAGTACAGACTTAGCTACAACATGGGGCAGGCTCTCCTCTGCTCAGTCTTGCCCATGTGGAGGAACAAGGGAGCTACAACCCAAGTGACTGGCAGATATTCCAGGCCCAGCTCTCCCTAAGCACTATGCAAAAGCCCTGACGCCTAAGTTACAAGTTACTAGCTGGCAGCGTTTACAAAAAGCACACTGTCATAGGAATCAGTGTGATTCCTGTTAAGTTTTTAATCTCACAGTTCAGCCAAGGTCAGAACTGGTGAAGTCTGGATATTTTCTTTCTGAACTTCAGATTATAGACTCCTGGGAGTGTTCAGTGGAGTCAGAGGGACACAGTGATTCACAGTGAGAGGCAGAAAGCAAGTGATATTTCAGGAACATTATGTTCCTTTGCCATTTCCATTTAAAAAAAAAAGGAAATAAGAAAATTTGATCCATAGGTCTATATTATTAAAAAAGGTGGCTTGGTAAACAGAGTACAAGTAAAGCGGGGAAAGAAGCCTGGAAAATATAATTTATGATACAGATTTGCAATTTTTCATGTGAATTTCAGCACTGCTGGCATGACAGGGAGATCAGATTAGATACCAAATGCAGAGAGAGACACAATGTAAATTCTCATAAGCTAGAAAAATTGAACCATTTCAAATTAATTACCTTTTCTCCACCAGACAGCTGTAAAAGGGTTAAGTTAAAGTGGAAGCTATATTGATCAAATCATGTCTATCTGTGACACAGATTGATCTGAGCTGCATCATTAAACTATGCTGCTGACCAAAATGATTAGAACTGAAAAATGTGATATAGAGCATAGAAATCCAATTTAATGGCTTTTGAGCTTTCTTGAGTCTGGCTGATGTTCCATCAGTGCAGAGTAGCTGAGGGCTAAACTGGATTAGGTTCATGTCTATTTCATATATCTATTTATATTCTATACCCAGACACATAGATGTTGTTCATATAAAAATCTCTCTACATACTGCTCGGTGAGAAACACCATAAACTTTAAATAGGTGAAAATTAGCACTATTATTTGTCCAATTTTAAAGTCATACACATGTGCATGTAATAGAAATAAAGAAGTGCTTCAGTATTCAAGGTGAAATAGCAAGGCTTGTAAAAGGCAGGCAAAGGCTATACTCCCATTTCAGGCATGTTGCACACCATGGTACTTCCAGGATCACAGTTAATATTTTGGTGAGGACATCAGACTGCAACACAGCAGTTGTGAGGTCAAGTCCATCACCATGCCTTAGATGTGGGGTTCAGCCTTTTGAGAGCTACTCCAACTGGAATTGGTCACTGTACTATCTAGTTGCTCTTGCATTCATATGGCATCTGCCAAAAAAGTATCTAAAGCTTTGATCTGGTAAACATTATACATTGTGTTTGGTTAGTCAGATTGCTCATATGTTTGGAGAGAAACAGAAATATAAGTCTTTAAATTTTTATGACATGGACCTGAGCATCTCACTTTGCCACAAACAACTTTGCCTGATTGTGTTGAGCAGAACCATGGTATATCCAGCCTTTGCTCTAAGTGATTATGTGAAAGGATCCTAAGGGGAGAAGAAAAGAATCTTCTTGTATTTCAGTACCTGTATTGTGAAGGGTGTGAGTTTCTTTTTGTTGATTGTTCTCTCATCAATGGTATCTGGCACTGAAAAGTTGATCATCTTACTGGAAATATAAGGAAAAAAAACCAGAAATACACTAACAACTACACATGCACAAAATACAGATATAGCTCTTGTCACTACATTGTAGGACAAGTCCAAGAGATGGAGAGTTACTTAACAAATATAGATAGTCACCCCCTGTTTCTACATATACACATAGAGGCACACACTCAATACTTGAGCAATTCTTTTGGGTCACATACAGATTGTACTACAGGTGCAAGGCCAAGAATGCCACAAGGTGAAGTCATGTGAAAAGTTTATTGTGCAGAAAATGTCTGTGAAAGCACTCACTATTTTGTGCTGCTTTGTGTGAAACCCCAAAAGTCCTTGGGCAAAAATAAAACCGAGTAGCTCCTCAAATTTCACTGACTTCATCTAATTGTAAGGGTCTAGAGGCAAGAAAAAATCCTCATTAAACATGAAAGATGCTTTATATTTTTGAAGATAAAAGAAGCAAAAAACCATAGAATTATTAAGGCCCTGAGTCTGCTAAGATTCATGAGCTTATTGTAAATTCAGCAGCTTCTGTTTAAGCAGAGATGTGAGTTTTTGCAGACTCATGGTTCCCATTTGTGAGAAAGATAGGTATTATTTACCAAAGCACTATGCCATCACCGACCGCCTGGAAGAGGTCATCTGTTTCTGGATTCATTGGGACCACGTGCTTACAGTCAGGGTCTTTCTCAAGGGCTTTGTTAATCCAGTTGACAAAGGCATATTTTTCTTCCTCTGCGGACACAATGTCAAATCCATAAGTTTGCTGTGCAGTACCTCTACAACCATTTTACTTACAAAGGCAGAACTCCTGGGGCAGACATCTCTCCCACCAGTGTAATTGATCAACAAAACCCTAAATGGAAGAAGGCTCTGAGGAGACAAGAAAATGAGCTGAAGACAGCAATGGGCTTGAGCTGGTTAATACACCTTTGATACTCCTTCTCACTCACCAGGGTTGCCTGGTGTCATGAGGGCAAGTGTATTATAGAGACTGGTAGTGAAGTTCATGTGATTCAACTATATGGTGCAGATGCTAAGCTCTGCAAAGAGTATTTTGTATGTGCACCATAATTTGAATCCATTTTTGTACCATTCTGCTAAATAGAAATCCCACATAACTTCAAATAAATTCAAGAAAGTCAATTCTGTATTGTACTTTACACCCTCTTCATGTGGAATATCCAGATTGGATTGGCCAATATTTTGAATGTATTGTTGTATCACTCTGCTAAATAGAAATCCCACATAGCTTCAAATAATCAATTCTGTACTGTATGTTACGCTCTCTTCATGTGGAATATCTAGATTTGCCAGGATTGGACTCTGACAAGGAGCATTCAGAGGGTAATGGGCAAATGTTGCCTGTAGTTCAACAGGGCTGTAGCATAGCTGTCCTGTACCAGCAACAGCTCACACTGCCCCAGTAGCTCAGAGAAGGAGACGTCTGTGCGCAGGTGGGTGGAAACATCACAGGAAGCATCCTCTGTTCTCCCTGCCCTGGAGAGAGTCAGTCCCCCACTCTTGCCCCTGGAGAAGACAGCCAAGGGTGGGACCTCCTCCCTGTGGAGCTGCTTCAGTGTGAGCTGTGCCCAGGCGGCAACAGAAGCAACCGTGGCTGCCCTGAACTTTCAGCTTGGAGAAACAGGCTGGGATAAGAGCCCTGATGGTGTTGTGCCCTCTAGAGAAAAAACGTCAGGAACTATCTGAGTTTACAGAATAACTGACAGATTACTGGTAAAATATATGAGGAAATGAGTTAGAAACAGTGAGGAACCTGTGTCTTCCCTGGTGAGCAGGACATCAACGGGCCAGTCTCAACAGCTGCTGCAGCTGTGCCCGGAGGCTGTTCTCCGGCAGGTCTGCAGTGCATTTAAAGTAGTGGAAGATAAATAGGCTGGAGCTTCCTCCTGTAGCCACAGCTGTGACCACCCCAGTAAACTGCCTCAGGCTACTTTTGACAAAGACCCTGCTCTGGTGCTTTGTCACCTTCACAGCTCTTTGGCACACACCAGCCTTGACTGAGCAGCCATCAAAGATCACTGAGGCCAGAGCACCTGGGCTTGCACTGAGATAAGGTGCACATGATCTCTGAGGCCTCACTTGTTGCTATCAACACAGGACAGCTGTACCTACCTGAGTAAGAATGTTGTGTGCCAGCACTGGACTGCTCGGATGTCCCACCAATAGCACAGATCCCCTCCTTCTTGTTGATTTGTTTTCTGAATGACTTGGCAACATCATCACTCTTCAGGTTTTGGAAAATCTTTCAAGCATGAGAGACAATTTTAAAATTTTAGAGAATTAAACCAAGCTAAAACAGTGAGCTCTTGGGCCAGGAGACACATTCTCTCTGCTTCATAAATAGGGAAGGACAGCTTGAGTATTTTTCAGTGGGTTTCTCTGTACAGTCTGTGTATCTGCTGTGGTACAACAGGATTATGCACAGCGTTTATGCTTTCAAAGCAGTGAACAAGGGCTGGCTAAATAATAGAAATGTTGCTTTGGAGGAGAGTAGTTTGGGTTTGAAGAAAGGGCAAGTAAAAACCTGCTTCTCCATCCCAAGGGAAATTCTACTATTTTAGTGTTTGCTTTTGACCCAGTTCAGACCAGAAAAAAGAAAAATGCCTCATAAATTTTAAGTTTCAATCTGCTGAAACTTTTTGTAATCATCTAGCCAGAATATAATCTTTTTGCAACTTATAACTGAAGAACTTTATCTTGCTGCATCAACCAAACTGAAACATACAAAGTCTGTGAAATAAGCAGCTGCATTCATGTAACTTGTCCCAGTAGGATTTCTAGTTTGGTTATCTTCTGCTTTCAACTTTTCCAGTGAGGAGACTCCTCGGATTAACAAGGTGCCCATGAGACCCTATGCGTGTGCCTCTGCTGTGCCCCAGGGGCCGCCTTGAGTACCCCACCTGGGATTTTACTTACTGAAATAAATAACATCTTACTTACTGAAATAAATTCATCAAAACTGATCCTGCCATTCCCTGTGGTTGTCAGATTCTGAATGAGTTCTCTGGCTTTATATCCTGGGAGAGGGAAATTGGCCGCCTTTAACGCTTCTGTTAATTCATTGGCATCGATGAAGCCATCCCCATTGATATCTGCAAAGATTAAAGCAAATTTTACA